CTTCCATCAAAAAGCCGGCGATGTACTCGAGATCGAGGTCGCTGTAGCCTTCTTTTGCGTTATCACGCAAAAGCCCTGCTACGAAGCTGTCTTCGGCCTTCCCCTGGCTGATCCGTGCTTTGGCTTCCCCGAATAAGTCGTGATACAATCCGTTCTGTTTCAATTTGAGGTCTGCAGCTCTAAGTTTCCAACCTCGCCAAGGCGTCAGGAAATCCGGGACATATTTCAGAAATGGCAGCACATCGAAAGGGGGAACGGCCCCCTGATCCAGCATTCCTGCCCACTCCGCTTGGCATTCGAAGAACTTCTTAATCTTACCCTCATCGCTGAAATCCTTTCCGCGGGTGCCAAAGACGCTTGACATGATGATGGCGCCAAAGTACCGCAAGATATGGTCGTGGTAATGAGCAGGATCACACAGCAGCTCATGCATCATTTGTGATGATTCAGCGTCTTGCAACAGCAAGAGCTTATCAACTTTGTCGTCTTTCAAGAAGTCCGTAATTGTCTTCCTCTCCTTCCTCCACTTGGGACCATACCGCAAAAAGACGAGATGGATGTCACCGGGCGGGGGTAGCACGTACTCCACGATAGGCACGTACGGCCGGGACGAGTAGAGGGCCCCGCGTTGATCGAGGAGATCGCGCACGGATTGCCAGGTGTTGAGGACGACGGCTTTGTTGCTGGGTCCGAGTGACAGGCCGACGAGGCCGTGCGATCCGTACGTGCGGCTCCATGCTGCGAACTGAATGAATGGTTTCGTCAACGGTATTTGATGGAGGTTACCGAGGAATGGTATGGTAGGAGGTCCTGGAGGAAAGTTGATGTTGGACTTGGAGGCCTGGAGGCGAGGACGTATGAGGAAGAACGCCACAAGTGCGCCTACAACGCTCAGTGCAAGTATCGAGATCGCCATTTTGAAATTCAGGGATAACACAGAGTAAGCCTGCTTCACCGCCATCTAGAAATCACACACTGTTATATAGCCAACTGTTCTTGACCTGACCGCCGCAATCATTATGTCCTCTCACAAATGAGAGCAATCTTATTGGCTCGTAGATGTGAGGATGAGTAACGACACGCATATGCGTGCGACGCTCTGCTTATGCTGCCCGGCATGGGTTCATCATTTTATTGCTGGAAAATCAAGTCTCAAGCAGTATTGGAGACAGATTGGACATGATCTACCGCATAAAACATAGTGCTAAGTACGAGGTAGGAAGTCAGATTATTGCCAGTTCGACCTTACAGCGAGAAGCTCCCGCATTTCATTCGTTGCTGATGTCGAAGACATTCTTCAACGAAAGGACTGCTTTTTTACAGAGCCCTTCGTATCTTATCGTTCATATGGACATGTTTAATCAGATATCGTCTAGCTCTGATCAATCGGCAAGACTTTTAGTTGCCACCAGCGATCTTAATTGCATTGGAAGCGGGTTTGAGAGTTGGTATCTATGCAAACCATCGCATTAGATGCACTGGCGATAGCCACAGTTCAGACACGACTAGATACGCGTCAATTCACATATCAAGATCAGCAGACATACCATGAAACGAACATACCAAGGCACGGGAACAAATGCCAGAGCTGTTGGCACCGGCATCGGCATCGACATTCGGCTTTCCCAAATCCACCTCACCAAAGACAGAAAGCCACGAGAAAGGTCGGATTGCTCAGGAAGCAGTCTCGAGTGGACCGCGGCGGGGTTTGTCGCGTAAATACTCCGTACGGTCAAACTGATTCCATCTCGCGACTCCATGTATTCGCAAAACAGTCCCTTCTGAGACTAAGACGTTGGCTGCCCCATAGAAAGAGACCGCAGACAGGCGCCACTCGATCGACACATGAAGGGTTCTCCGGACAGAATATGCTCCGCTTCGCAACCCACCGCACGCCACGCCTAACGCCCTTGACAGTCTGTCAGGTGTACTGTCAGGTCAGAGTAAATGTTGTGTCACCGCGATAACTAACAGGGGTCGCAACCGAACCCTCGGACTTCTCGAGAGAAGCTAAGACCCTGGAGTGGTCAGCACCAAGAGCGAGAAGACGGGATGATGTGCGGACACGGATGGGATGAACACTCCCATGCCCGCGTCGCATCATCCGTGCGTCCAGGGGAGGGGAGTCAGGAAGACGTATGCATGCACATGTGAAATGCAAGATAACGGATGTTTTTTGCTCCCTGCAGCGGGATCTTGTATGCTTAAGGTTTAGCTGAGACAGAAACAACCATAAGCATATCAAATCTCTTTCAAGCTTCTTCAACGTCGGGACGCACCACCACACGGTGGTCAAGACGCGTCGATCGTGTCTCTGGATTCCAAGACATCATTTAACGATACCCCTTTCAACTCTTTTTCCGACTCAAGACGTCTGAAGGAGGTGGAAATTCCACCAGACTTATCAAATGAAGACCTTTTGTCGAACCCGTAAGGGAATAGGCACCAAAGCCGCATGGACAGTTGGCGTCAATTAGCGCCTCTGGTCCTCAGCAAACAACAGACGCCACTCTTCCGATGTAACCGCTAGCTGTATCATAAGAGGCCGCCGCGTCTCGCAGCCGATTGCGCTAGCTTTCGAGGCCGCCTACCCGCCAGCCGCAGGAAAGAAACTGGCGGGAGCGTTCCTGGGTGATGGGGTAAGAGTCCGTAGCTTTGACCTTGGGAATTCTTGGAGCTGTGCCCTTTTCAGTCTAGAGGAGGCGAGTGAACGACAAGGCTCGGACCTCCTCATCACAGCTAGTGCAATCCTCATATCCGCATTGACCTCGAACCTCTCTCTTCCCCTACGGCCTACGGGTCGAGGGGTGGCTGTCTCTTATACCCTCACTCGCGCAATCGCCTGCGGGCTGAGAGGCTTCTGAACCTACTTGTTGTGTTTTACCTCTCTCTCACTCCAGTCATTCGTTCGTGATCGGGGCCTACCTTCGTTTGAGGTGCTTCTTTTTCTATTCTGGCTTTTCTTACACAGCTGCATGACAGGAGCATTTGAGACTTCAAGCGGGCGTTTGCGGACTGTCGCTTGAAGAAGCAATTGCATATCAACATACGACCTTATAACACACTAGCAAACACCTACACAACAGAACAGCAGGACCTGAATAATAATGCACCATGGTTGATCAAGGAATCCACGGGAGGTGGCACAGCATCGCGGGGAAACTTTTCAACCGGGGCCTAATTGGAGATATCCTCGGCACACCCGGCGCCATCGTCAGCCAAGTATTGTCGTCGCCGGCGACGACAACTCAGGGGAATGTTCAGGCAGAGGGTACACCAGCGGCAGCAGCAACGACACAAGCTGCCGCTGCGCCGGCTGTAACAACAGCTGCCGCCGCTCCTGTAGCTGCGACAACACCGGCTGCACAACAACCAGCTGCATCGCCGGCAGCAACGACGAAGCAGGATCAGCAGCAAGCTGCTACAACACCAGTCGCTCAGGCACCAGCAGCGGCAGCGACGACATCACAGCAGGTAGCTCAGGCATCGTCAACAACAGTCGCAGCAGCGAATCCTCCAGCAGCTTCAAGTTCATCTTCAAGCGCTGCAGCTGCTGCTTCGTCAACGCCTGCTGCAGCTGCTACGACTGTCCCACTAGCCGCTGAGAATGCAGCTTCATCACCAGTGTTATCCCAAACGGTTACACCAGAGGCAACAGGAACAAGCGTGATCGGGGTTGGAGCGGGGGGCGCATCAAGTACAAGATCTGGCGTGACCAATGCTACACAAACGCCTTCGCCGAATTACGAGAATACATCATCATCAAGCAGCCAAGGGCCTTTGGTCGCCACTGGAGTCGTGCGTAAGTGAATCCCTGCCGCTTTGCTCATATGTGTAGCCTTTCTTTGATACTGACTGATATGCAGTGGGCATCGTGGTACTCATGGGACTGTCCCTTTTGATATTCTGGTGCTATCGTCGCAGAAGGAAAGCAGCCCGCCATCTTCATGAAGCCGTCGCCCTCGAGAGTCCTAGCAACGAGTACGGTCCGGCCTCGCCTTTCCACGATCAAGTCGACCAAAGCTTCACTGAAATGACTGATAACCGTACGGTCTCCAACGAAGACGAATTTACCATTCAACATCCCGAACCCGGCTATCAACCTCCTTCCCAACCGCCGATGTCGCCTCAAATGCAGGACACACTGAGAACAAACCCATATGCAGCATCTCCCTTCTCATACGCGCAAGCGCAACAATATGTTCAATCTCTAGCAGGCACAGGGACATTTGGCTTCCCTCCGCCGCCTCCAATCCCAGAGCCATCGCCTATCCGGATCTTCAGATGGCCAACTCGTTCGTCTCGCAGCGGCAACTCTACACCTAGTGTCTTCTCCGGATTTCGCACACCCAAGACGCCTACTCGCACTCTCTCTCGGGCTTCTCGAAGTACCGTGTCATCGATGTTATGGCACGGCCGCAAGGACGTTGCCCGGAGGACCATCATACGTGCCCCCGGATCTCAAAAGTCATCAAAGTCAGCAAAGTCGCGTACCAACATTTCTTCTCACAGCCCCGAGAGCACGCTGCCGGAGGGTCTATATACTCCCGTCCTAGATTGGCTTCACTGGATCCGAGGCCATCAACAGGTCGAGCCCGATCCAGAGATGAACCATCGAAAGAGCTTCGCCAGCACTACGGAGAGCTCAATTTCCGAAACAAGCGTTGCGAGCACAGCTAGCAGCGGTGTCTTCTCGCCCACACTCCTTTCTTACCATCCACCAGCCAATACGCCGAGTGTCACAACCGAGACCATTCAATATCTACCTTTGCCTTTGTTCAAGAAAAGAGCCAGTGATACTAACAGCGAGGTCACGGTGGAAGCGTCCGGTACGGTCCGCATCCCGAGTTTTGGATGACGGTACAATACAATACAAAATTTAATGATATCCCATTTTTGGGCAACAGTCGTTCATTGCATGGCTCGGGTGTTCTGGTTTAGCGATATCTCTATTTTCATATAGTAAATATTACATCTGAACAAAAGCAATCTCAATGTGCCTACGGCCCATCTTGCAAAGGTGTTTCAACTCGATTCACTCCAGGTTCTGTGCCATCGGTAATGACCCCTTGATCCATCATTTTTCTATCGCGCCCAGGATAAAAGCAAAAGTAAAGGGCGCATCCTGACACAAAACCAACAATGCCCAGCGAACCATACATCCAAACGAGGTAAGGATCTTACGAAACAGGCGCAAGCGCAATGCAAATGGCGGCGGCGATGCCAATGGTCAACCAAAATAGGGCGGACACAACCGAACGAAGACTGAAGTTAAATGACGTTGTCAGCAATGTAGTCTTATCGAGACCCCTGAGTCCAGGGGATACCGGTAAGCTTACTTCTTTTGGGCCTGGGGTGAAGGCTAGCTCCAGTCCGGTGACGATGATGAACGCTTCGGAGAACGCCACGAGTATGTAATCGGGAGCCTGTATCCAGACGTGAATGCTTTTGGGCGGGGAGTTGTCAACGTAATGCTGCAGGACACTGGCGTAGACCATGGATATGGAGGCGAAAAGAAAGCCTACGAAGATTCGGGTGACTGGATCGAGGTCGATACGGTCTTACGGAACATAGGACACACAATTACTAAGGGATTTTTCTAGTAGATGCAGTGTTGTTAACGGAAACCATGAAATCATTCACTCACTGTCTAAGAAAAGAATACAGATACAGAATGCGATTAGCGCAAATACTCAATTGAACAAATTAGATATCAGAGTCTTGTCTACTTGTTTAAATGATCTTTCGCGCTGTGTTCAATCATTTAATAATCGTAAAACGTTGGGTGAACATACGGACCAAAGCTATGTTCAAAAACAAGAGTCGTCTTGAATTAGCCATTGATATTCCACACTAAGGGAGAAAGCGTAAAGACAAGCGAGCAAAGAGGATGGGAATTGGCCACTATTTCCTTAAAATGGTGTCTTTGGTCACGAAGCCGTAGCCTGCAATAAGCCGCTGAGTCAGCGGAGAGCATACTTTGCCGAGCAACTTCGACTTATTCAGCATCACAACGTTTGTGGATTGTCGGCCGCAAATACGAGAGCTGAGGCGGGTTGAACGGCGGACTAGGGGCGGACGATGCCGTCAAGGGCCGCGAATGCGTCCGATTAGCGTACAAGATTGAGTGTAAAATCGAACTTAGCTTTTATCTGGAGACGAGGTAATTCTCGCCGATGCGACATTCCCAATAGCCCAGTTGAGGAAGTTTAAATCTTCGTTTATTGAGCCATGTCTTTGAATACTTAAGATCTACAAGTTCGATTGTTCCCAATACTTTCTGTTCGTCACGGATCGGTTGACGCTATTCTTTCTCTACCTAGTCTCAAAATGCGTGTTGCATCTACTTTTGTGCGCCCGATCATATCGGCGACGAGACTCACAATCAAGTCCCGTTACTCTTCTTTTCCCGTGTCCCCCACGTCTTCTGGAAAACATCATGTACAAACCACTTTCAACTATTTCAAACCGCTTTCCAAGGGACAAGAGCCACCAACTATATATCCCTTCAGACCTGAGACACACGACTATAGTCGTTGGACTGAGCAAGTTCCAGTGACGGTCCATGACATTACTGGCGATGAACACAAATACTCCCTCGACAACCATGGTTTCAAATTCCATCTTCACAAAACCAAGGTCGCCAACTTCGATGATCCCTTGGTCGTGGAGCAGGAGTATTTCCCGGAAATGAAATAGATGCTGAAGGATGTGTAGGTAGCCGACGTTCCTTTTCCACTAAATGCAGGCTAATCGATTACCCAGAACTGGCGCAAAACACGTTTTTCTCTTCAATCCCATCCACCGGAAGCCATCATCAGAGCGCGGAAAAGCCGCACAAGGTCCGGTCCAGCTGGTTCATAGTGACCTGACACCCGAGGATGCCGTTGCTGGCGCACGTCATGACCTAGGTCCTCAGGCAGAAGAGTTATTGAAAGGTCGCTTTCAAGTAATTCACGCTTGGAGACCACTGAAACCTGTCTACAAGGACCCTTTTGCAGTCGCCGATGCTCGTTCCGTGGCGGACGAAGACCTTGTTCACACAGAGGTCGTCTTTCCTTCTCGCAAGGGCTCTACCTTCAACGTCACTGCCAGTCCGAACCATCGTTTCTATTTTAGATACGGCCAGACGCCTGATATTGTCACGTTGTTCAAGAGTTACGATTCTGAGGTTGGCGTTGCCAGACGGAACCCGCACTCGGCGTTTGTTGACCCAACGACGGTAGACTGCTCAGACAGAGAAAGTTTCGAAATCAGGGCGTACCTTTTCCACGAATCACAATAGCTACATTTTAGATGATAGTATAAACTACTGGACCCGAACTGAAGAGCATATCATGGCGAAAGATCAAGGTCTACAACTAAATTTTTAGTATCACTTAAGATTATGAGACTTTCTCTCCGCGTACTGAACGGCTCTACCTTTCCCAAGCCCCCCCAAACCTATAATTTGCCTATCACTATGCCGAATTCAAAGAGGTTTTTATTATCATATTGACTGCTGTGGCAGGAGGACCGTAGCCCTTACCATAGAGCTCCGGAAGGTTTTGTAGTATAGAGGGTTGTAAGCCGAGCTTACCTACCCCATAACTTTATTAAATTATATCAGGGGTGCCACGCTCAAATTATCTGAGCTGGACGCCTATTATTCAGCAGATATTTGCCTCGACCTGACATGCCGGACTACCGGCTGAGACTCCACGAGCTTCTTCGCGTGGTATGCGGATCTTGGTCTGCATTGGTAAAGACGCGTCGTCTAGTTTTATCGTGTCATTCTTATTGCATCAGCCGCCTAACATAGATTAATAGCTCCAAGACCGGCCAATTCGTCTGACTTGTGATTTACATGGTTGCAGTCAACTTGTGGTACGAATTTGTGTTTCAATCTTAGCTTTTTCAGCACATTCATAGCTTCAGAGATTGCATCTCGTCACTCCGGCTTTAAGAACAGCCTATCGTCTATAGAAAAAGAACAAAACTCGAAAGAAACAGCTATCAAATGGCCGTCTCGTGACAGTAAAGAGCGACTGACCACACGGCGTCACTTGGTGCACTTAGTGGGTCCAGATATCGGTCTCGGGCCGGATTGGCGTGCCGAACCTACAAACCAGCCGGCCGGCGCACATTTTATTTTGTCCATTCCGGAGCTATTGCTCGATGACACTTGCAACGGGGTAAAATCAGTCCGCGGATGGGTCTCCGAGCAATCAAATCATCGCATTAATAAACCATGCACCGTGTCATGGGCCCGTTGCGCGGGGCGTTATTCAGCATGACGGACTTCCATTAGCGACATCACTCCGTGAAGCGAATTCCTACTTCCCGTCCACGCTATATATGTTCGTCAATTATGTCTTCTCGAACCAGATAGTCCATAGAGACGAAAAGTAACAGATAGCTTTTCATCATGTTCACGGATCTCATCACTTCCAGCAAGTTGGGTGTTCTAGCCGCCCTTCCAATCCTCTACTGGATCGGCTGGGTTATTTACGCACGCACTCTACACCCATTGAGCACCATTCCCGGTCCATTCTTGGCGACAGTCTCTCGACTATGGTACATACGCAAAATTTGGTCAGAGGATGTAGAAAAGGATGAGAGGGCCCTACACGAGAAATTCGGTCCTTTGATTCGCATTGCGCCGGATGAAGTATCATGCTCCGAGTACGCCTCCAGCTTTTACAAAACCCACTGATTGAGAGCACGGCAACTAAACAGAATACAGCCCTGAGGCATTTGCAGATATCTATCGCTTTTCTAACGCTTTGGATAAGGCCGAGTTCTACAGACCCTATAACACCACCGGGTTCAGCCCTCACGGAGACGTGTTCTCATGCAAGAACGACAAGAAGCATGGCCAGAGACGCAAGATTACCAGTAGTGTCTACTCAATGAGCAATGTAGCCAAGTCGGAACAGTACATTGATGCTTGTGGCGATCTTTTGACTGAGCGGTTGGCAAAATTCGCGGACACAGGCAAGCCCTGTGACATCGGGGAGTGGCTGCATTGGTTAGTTTGCAATTTGCCTTGTTCCCATAATCCACGCGTCGAATATAGGTTTAACAACTTCAGGTACACTTTCGATATCATCGGTGAGCTCTTTTATGGCAGGGCATTCGGCTTCCTTGACGAAGGCAAGGATCAGAATGATTGGATCAAATCTCTCGATAAGATGATTCCCTTTGTCTGTCTCATGGGCGTTGCGCCGCCAGCTCTCCGACCTTTCATCGGCATCGGAACCATGCTCACGTCCGCCGGAAAGGAAATTGCGAAGGGAGTGTACGAGATCTCCTCTCGCCCGTCACACGACTGTGGGAGACTGACACTTGGCGGAACAGGAAGAACATTGGCGAATCCTCCGCGCGGCTTATGAAGGACGCGTACGAGTCACGCCTCGAGGCCCCAAGGACCGATATGGCCCAGCAGGTTTTCGCCATCTACGAAAAGAATGGCGAAAAGTACGACTACCGATGGGGCGACGTCGAGCAGGAATCGTACGGCGCGCTTTTTGCCGGCAGTGATACCACCGCGATCGCCTTTCGATCCCTTTTCTACCACCTCATGCACAACCCTGACATCTATCGCCGCCTCGAGGCTGAAATCGACCAGGCCGTCAGCGAGAGTCGGCTGAGTATGCCTCCTGTATACAAAGATGCATCCCAGCTTCCTTACCTGTGCGCGTGCATCAAAGAGGCCTTGCGCATCCACCCCGGAGCACAGCTCTGTAAGTTGAGCTCTCTCTAGACTGCTATCTTAAAAGTGATAGTGTGAAATCTAACTATTATCTCAGCTCTACCACGTACTGTGCCTCCACAAGGAATGACAATCAGCGGACAGTTCATTCCTGGCGGCTACACTGTTGGCATAAATGCCGCTGTGCTGCACTTCGACAAGAAAGTGTTTGGTCAGGACGCGGAGAGCTTCAACCCCGATCGATGGTTGGACACTTCCCGTGCCAACTACATGGACAAGTATATGATGGCCTTTGGTGGTGGCACCCGCACTTGCCTGGGCAAGAACATTGCTCTCATCGAATTACACAAGCTCACTCCTCACCTTGTGTGGAACTATAGGTTCGAGTTCTACGACCAGAACAAGACCACTTGGCATACAAGGAACACCTTCTTTGCACGACAGGAGGGGGTAGTCGCTCGCATTGTAAAAAGAAGGAATTAGGTAGGGCTGGGATATCGTGAAAGCGCGATCGATTATCTAGGTGTGGAATTGGGTGTCTCATTGCCTGTCATGCCAGTTTGCTGAGTATATAAACATAGATCTATTAGCTTAGTTACCACCAACCAGAGTTTCAAGTCAATTGAGAATCTAAAAAAAAACTTTGACGTCTTTTCTGAATACAGAACGAACAGAACTAATGGCTTTCGGAGTTCCTTTAGACATACAACAACTAAAGTGCATCCAAGAGAGGATCCCGCCTTGGAGGTTCCGAGTCACCATTCAAACTCTTGGACCAGGCAACTAAGCACACTGATAGTAGTATGGCGCCGAGACACCCTGGCAAGTTGAACCTGACTGTAGGGAGTAGATAGTCGTTAGCTTAAAGGCCGGGAAATGGGACTCGAACACGAGAAGGTGGTAACTTACGGCACAGGTGGTGCATCCCGTCCAACCCTGACCACCACACTGCGCATACTTCTGAACAGTACACGACGGCGGGTTTCCAGTGCCAGGAGACGTACCTCCTCCACCGACAGGTGAGACAGGGAGCGCCGTGCCGACAGGTCCTTTGGCAGCATCGCACGTAGATGCGCAACCACTACATCCAGAACCTGCCGTCTTCGTAGTCCCGATCGAAGCGACAGCAGGACCGGGGACCGTATATCCAGACAGCTTTGCATGGATGTTGACAGCAATTCCGGGATCGCTCGCCTTGTACGCACCGGGGAAGCTGACTGTCGCGGGTTTCGCCGTCCCCGTACCGCCCGAGACCGAAAGCTGGAAGCACGTCATATAGAGCTGCGCTCCGCCTGAAGGCCCGGCAGCATGGAGAGCAATGACTTCCGCCCGGAGAAGGTAGTCTCCGTCGGCGATATCTTTGCTGATGGGGATATCCATCTTGCCGCAGCAGGTGTTGAGATCTTTGGTGCCCCAATTATCGTCATCGCCGGAGCCGGAGCCGGATTTGGCGGACCAGCCGTCTTGTAAGATCTTGAACCAGCCAGCAGAACCGTCGGCTGTGGCGGCGTTGTCGACTTTGCTGAGGTAGACTATGACCGGGCCGTAGTGCGCGCCGCCGATGGCTTCATTCTTGCAGCTTCTGTCGCCGTTTTGCTGTTTGGGTCCTGTGTCAGTGACGATCTATCTGGGCCGTAGAGGGGCACTAGCTTTACCTGATGCATCTCAATGGTGACCGTTCCACCGGCCTTGACAGGGCATTTAGCGTTTACGCCGCTTGTTCCGCCGACGTTGCATCTGACTTCGTTGCCGGCGACATTGGTAACGGGCGAGTTGCTTTGGGGCAATCTTGCACACTGCGAGCCGTGAGAGAAGGTCAGTCAAAGTATCATTTCCCTTGTTAAGGCAAGTAGAGACGTATCATATCAACTCCATCAACCCAGAGTTGTTGGAAAGTGGCATGAGCGGCACTTTTTCTGGCCGCGATTGCTACGACCACGGCGAAGGTGTTCCACTTCATGGCTACTTTGATGAATGGAAAAGACGATGACGCGGATGACTTCGAGGTCAATAAGTGTATTTCGATTGCGAAGAGATCAAATGACTATCAGGTTATGAAAAATCTTTGCAGGCAGAAACCACTTCTATACCAACCTGCCTGCTTGATAAACCCTTACTTATTTATAGAACGCATGCAGCATACAAGGCGGGAGGCGGGCGTCAGTATGTGCTATTCCCATTCCTCCAACTTTCCAACATGAAGCATTGTCATCTTCATGCAAAAGGACTCCCAAAAATGGCTTCTGGCACTCATTGAGAATAATTGATATTAGTCCGGCCCTTCCTTATATGACTCGTGCACCACGTGGGTTACTCGCCCTGGCTAGGCCGTCTCGGCATGTCCATTGAGCCAAAAGTCGATGTCTATAGCCCCATGGATCCAATACTGGCACACGAAAGTATTGGCCAGTCACAAAGCCCTGCCAGATTGGTGTAGCACTCAAGTCTTAACTAGTACATCGTTGCACTTCAGAGCCTGTATAGCCGGTTGACCGGCAGAACCCGCCGGCCTGATACCTTCCGTGATCGCCGCAATGCGACGCAGGATGCGATCGGCTCTTTCGGAACCCAACCATCAGGCTGTTTGTCTCTCAAATGCTAATAAGGCTATCTCACCTGATGTAATCTTCAACTACTAGGATGCAGTCGGTTGCGTTGAGGAGCACCCGAGCCAGATGTGACGACCAGAAGACTTCACATAGCATTGAAGGTATTTGAGCGAACATGCTTTAGGTATCTGACATAACTTCGTGAACGAGCATACATGCGTCGGTATGATATCAATGTGCCACCCACCGGGAAAACAAAACAGTACTGGACTTCTGACCTCTGAGCCGTCAACGCGTGAGCGAAGTGGCTGAAACAATGTGAATGTTCTACAATGAATACATGATTAATCACAAAAGCCAAGGAGCGCAGGCTTTCATGATGGGCGCTGTAGGTACCGCAAGATCTCCGGATCCTGGCTCGGCGGGCACTTCTTCCCATCAACCCCAATAGAAGTCAGTAAGATCGGGTCCTCCACCAAAGTATCTGGATGGACCTCTAGGCCATAAGACAACTCCACCTTGGCGCAACGCGCCGCATCGATGAGCGCAGGCACATCAATCTCATTGTCTCCAGTGCCCGCCTTTGCAGCACGAATCAGAGCCTCTCTCTGTGCAGCAGGTATACTCGACACCCTTCCCGCAAGCTTGGAGCCTGGCGGTGGGGTCGAGCTGCCCCATTCATAGTTCATCGGCCGCAACAGCGCCGCGCCCGTCTGTAGTACCCAGCTCTGCGCCGCCCCCATGTCCTCGACTTCCTCTTCAGCCTTCTTCCGCCACTTCGTTGGGAGAACCTTGGAAAGGACGTGTACCGTGCCGAGGAAGCCTCGCTTGACGGCTTGGAAGAAGCCGTAGACTAACTCGTCAGGGACTTGGCGTATCAAAGCGCCCAGGGGGATTACAAGAACACCGAACAGCATCGACCAACCCCATTGCGCACCATTAAGGGGGCGGGTGTCGAATGCCTGACCACCCTTCCATATGATGATCATTTGCCCGGCCAAGGTGGCGCATTGCACGCCGATGAACCATGGGTTTCGAAGGACGCCTTGATACCAGATATTGAGCTTGTTATCGACACGACGGCAGTTGTGCTGATTGAAGAACTGCATCCAGACGTAGATGTTGAAGATCATAGTCTGCAGTGCCTCGCGCTCCGCGGTTGTGGTGGGGTGGAAGAGTTGGTCTCCTGCGTAGTGGAGGGTGAACATGACTGCAAGCTGGTAGATTGCCTGGCCTAGGATCATCTTCCACATTGTAATATTGACAATGGGTGCTGTACGTGGCTCCGGCCTGCGTTTGAGGAAGTCTGGTGAGGGGTAATCGGTGGCCAGACCGAGCGAGGCGAAGATATCCATGATGAGGTTGATGAAGAGCAGTTGAACGACGGTGAAAATGGAGTCTCCTGCCAACTCGGAGACAACAGTCAGAGTGCCAGCAGTGATGTTAATTGTGAATTGGAACTGATAGTCTGTTAGTGTACCTTGCTTTGACTCAAGACCCAGATCTCACTTACTTGAAGGAACTTCTTCACAGCTGTATTCACCGTGCGACCCCATACCAACGCCTTCACAATCGAGGCAAAGTTATCGTCGAGCAGAATAATAGACGCAGCTTCTTTAGCAACCTCGGTTCCTTGGATGCCCATAGCAAAGCCTACATCCGCCGCCTTGAGAGCTAACGCGTCATTGGTGCCATCGCCAGTCACAGCAACCGTCTCGCCCATTTTTTTCAGATGGGATACGAGGAGGAGCTTATCTTCCGGGCTAGATCTCGCCAACACCTGGAGCCGCGGAATAACCAGATCCAGCTGGGCGGGGGTCAGCTTCCGGAACGTCGGCCCATCCATAGCCAAGCCGCCGGCTGAATAGATGCCGCACTCTGATGCGATAGCCTTTGCCGTCAGAAAGTTGTCTCCGGTGACCATTCGCACAAACACCCCGGCCTCCTGGCACTGACGCACGGAGTCGAGGACCTCGGGTCTAAGGGGATCACGAATTCCAAAAACGCCGATAAACGTCATGTCGGCAAAGTGCTTCTCGAATTTGATGGAGTCGGGGTCATCTGGGTTTTCAAATGGTGCGTCAACGTCTTTGTAGGCGATGACAATAGGTCGGAGCATCTGCTTGGCGTACTCGCGGATCGTCGATCGCAGGTCATCTCGTATCTCGATCGTGACACGCTGTACGGAGAGGCCGGTCTTCGGTTCCTTGAGGACGTTGGCACACTGGTCAAAGACGACCTCGGCCGCCCCTTTGACAAGAAGTCGGTATTTCCCACCGGACAGCTTTGACATGACCGCCATCCACTTCCGCGACGCGTCAAAAGGGAACATGTCAACAATCTCGTTGTTTGCCCTCTCCTCGCTAAGTGGCCCCATGGCAAAGAACTCGCGGCTGAACCTGAGCAGAGCAGTCTCGGTGCTCGTCCCCACGAAGCCAGCATCGTTCGGATTATCGCTCTCGAATGACGTGGTGTTCAGCGCGATGCTATTCTTCATCAGCGCTCTCACATCGCCGCTCAAGGATTCCAGCAAGGCTTTGGGGTGTTCCTGGTCCGAGGCATCATCGGTGCTCAGGTCTTTCTTCGCATCGTCCTTGCTGATTTCTCTTGGCGCGTCACCGAAACTTTCATGGAGTCCGATTCTGCCAGCGACGACCGTCATGCTGTTCTGTGTCAATGTTCCGGTCTTATCTGAGCAGATGCATGTGGCATTACCCATGATCTCACAGGAACGGATGAGGCGGACGAGGTTCTTGTCCTTGAGCATTCTGGTCGTGGCAAAAGCGAGAGCAAGGGTGACGGCGAGGGCTAGACCTTCGGGCACGGTGATCACGACGACAGTGACGGCTAGGATCAAGAGTTTGAAGAAGGTCTCGGCCTTTTCAGAGGCAGTTCCTCTCATGGTTGGGAGCCCAACGAGGAAGCGGATGAACAGGATGAGGAAGAAGATGATACCGGCAATCGCACCAAACGTAATGAGTTGCTTTGCCAACTTTCCCAGCTTCTGCTGCAGAGGAGTTTCCTCGACGTCCTCTCTCAACGACATCAAGGTCCGGCCATACGTCGAGTTGGTTCCTACCGATGTCACGAGGTACGCACCGACACCACCGGAGACTGTCGTGCCGCTGAGGATGAAGGGGTCAGTGGCCGAAGATCTGTGAGCTTTTCGGTTGCGGATATCACTCTCGCTGGGAACGTTCTTGTGCACGAGTTCAGACTCGCCCGAGAGGGAGGACTCGTCGACCTGGATACCGGAGCCCTGAACAAGTACTCCATCGACGGCAACGACATCTCCAGTCTCAATGTGCATGATTTCTCCAACCTGCACGTCGTATACAGAGATGTTCTGGGTCTTCCCGGACCGTATGACTTTGACATCTCTCTGCTCCTTCCTCTCATTGAGCTTAGCGAACCTGGCGTTCTTTTGCCAGTCCGTAGCAGCACTGGCGAACACAATTACCAGAATAGCTACAACAACGGTGACACCATCGACCCATTGGATGTTCGGCTCGTCATCGGATGCATCTACCGTTTCGTAGATACCAAGCGCCAGAGAGATCGTAGCTGAGATCGTGAGGAGGAACATGAGCTTGTCGTTGAACGCGATCCATGCAAGCCTCAGAAACGATTTTTGCTTTCGTTTCGGGAGCCTGTTTTCGCCATATATACGTCTCCGGTCTGTATAGCCCTGGGCCTCATGTTGAATCAGGTCCAGGTCCAACTTGATACCGTGCTTGTGTTGTGTTGTCGGAGGTTGAGGCGTGATTGCGGCAGCCCGGTGTGCCTCTCCTGCGGTGACAGCTTCTTCGAACGATATTGTGCCATCGAGGCTTGTCTCGTCTACACTGAGCCCGGCGGCGAGATCTGTCCGCAAGCCAGCCGCGAGGCCGGGAAGACCACCAAAGCGTCGCAGTGCTGATAGGTTGCGCGCTGTGATCAGCTTGTGGAGTTGCGTCGGCGTGAACGCGAATCTGTTGTTCTCAATGACAGTATCATCGCGGAGGTCCAATTCTTTTGAGTTGTCCTCCAGCTGCTGTGCGAACTGCTTGCTGAAGGGGTCTTGTGATGGAGCCTGGCCTGTATCTGGCTGACGCGGCGCGGCGGCCGTGATCTCGTCAGTCATCGTCTTGTGTCTCCAGTCGCCAGAGGAAGGTTTGTTTGGACAGCGATGGGCGTGACGACAGACAGATGTTCAAGGTCAGGTCTCAAACATGGCAAGAATTGACGAGTAGAAAAACAGAGACACGCAGCGCCAGAATGTCCATAATTCCATGATCAGCAGGGGGGGAACAACAGTTGGTAATATGTTATGGTCATCTGGAGCCGACCTTTGGGGCAACGGCACGGATCTGAGAGCCGCGTCATTGCATCTTGGCGAATCTCACATTCGTGCCGAGAGAAATCCAAGGCTTCTCGGCACGCTATGAGGAAGTTGACTGGTCGGGGTGGGTGGACGATGTCTGGGACTAGGACTCGTTGCACAAGCCTTATGGCCTTGGGTCGTGGGGGATGTGGAGATCAACGGGCTTCGGGGGTCGACCCGCCAGGCAACTGAATCGGATTTTGTTTGCAACCGTACGGCGAACGGCACGTGGACATCGGTGAGTCCGGGGATGTTCGCCTCTTGAGATGGCCTTCGGGCGTGAATGAAGCGGAGATGTGTGGTCTTGGGTGACTCTTCGGCCGTTCGCGGTGGTCATCCGGGGCACTTTGACGCCGTCTTTTCGGTGTCGGCGTGGCTGTGTTCTTCGGAGGATGCGAAGGAGATGTGGATAGTTGCAGGGAACGTCTGGCCTCAAAAGCTGACTTGGCCCAGTTATGTCAGCGGCTGTTCGGCTCATAAGCGCCTTGGCGTGTCTAGCGAGAGACTTGGCTTTGCCCCATTGACATCATTCAGGGTTTTGTTTGCACGATGTTTCGTTTCGTAGCTTTGTTCTCGGGTGCTGTACAATATTTGTGTTGATTCAATCGAGTCAATTTGAGGTACTGTGTATAAGTCGCTTGAGTAAAGTAGACTGAAGCGCTCTGCTTCCTACCTCTTGAAGTTAGAGATTCGCTCCTATTTCGCCTGAGCTCATGGTGGCTTACAGAGGCAACATTGAAATAAGCTCACTGAAACTAGTCACCATAAGGTTTCGGTTCAGTGAGATTGAGTAACATGGAATACTGGGCTGCTGAGGCCAAATTCAATCGATCTCGTCAATGAAGGAAGAAAAAGGACGAGTAAAATCCAAGGGCAGATGTTATTTCTTGTCGACTTTGACCTTAGGTTTCATTTGACATAGGTATGCATAGCTTTGATACACGTGAGCAGCTTGACGATGCTTATCTTCTGCTCCAAGCACACGCAATCTAGCAGAGAAAGAAAGTGACACTAAGCTTGAGGACTAGAATCAGCATACATATTTCGTTCGCGAGACCTTCTAGCTCGCATAATCTTGTTCAATGTCTTTTGCGCATGAATTGGGTCCTTCATCATTCTGACTTCAAACTTGTGATTCGCTAAGCATTCGAAATACACCATTCTGGCCATACCGATATCTTCATGTTGTGCAGCTAATCGGCCTCGGACAATGAATTGGCGTTGTCCGCTCGGACTGGACATTGTGGTCACTAGCGCTCGGCCGCATGCATACTAGGCGATGAAACCTGGAGCACGACGTACCTTATAATAGCCGCAATCTTGAATATCGACATCATCACATCGCCATTCAAGCTGCGAATACATTGCAGCATCTTCAACGTTCCAGTCAGCGGCATTAACTCTTGTTCCAGTTGGACTCATAAGCAATGTCTTCCCCAATCCGTAACATTGCCATCATCGGCGTAAGTCCGAACCTCACTAGGCATGAGAGCCTCCCTAAGAGTAGTAGGTTCATGATCGAATGCTAAAGCTCCCGACCTCAGGCGACGGGCCAGATGGGCTCTCAAATAGCCAAGACCTTGCTTCAGTCCGGCTTCAATGTCACTGCCATCCAACGCTCCGACTCCACCAAGACCGTTCCCTCCGGAGTCAAGTCTATCAAACTCAACTTGAATGACGTCAGTGCTCTCACTACAGCCTTCCAAGGCCAGGACGCCGTCATCTCAGCTGCGCCGGACCCAATCGTTCTGGAGAATCAGAAGCCATGGATCAACGCTGCCGTCGCTGCCGGGGTGAAGCGTATCGTCCCTTCCGAGTACAGCACCAACGTAGACTCGCCGCTCGCCGAGGGCCTGCCCATCGTCGTTGAGAAGGTTCGCGCCAGACGCTACCTCATTGAGAAAATTACCGAGAACGACAATAAGTCGAGCTGGATGAGCGTCAATAACGGTCCCTTTTTCGAGCTCGTTCTTGGCTTTGGCGGGTTGGGTCCGAATTTCCGGAGCAAGACGGCGAAGTATCACAATGGCGGCGACAACTTGATTGGTACTACAAAGATTTCTGATGTCGCCGAGACGATTGCCAAGGTCTTGCGTGATGAGGGGGGATTGTACAAGGAGGCTGAAAATAAGTCGTTGTATATTCATTCAGCGGCGGTCAGTGAGAAGCAGTTGACGAAGATGGGGGAGAAGGTGACGGGCCAGAAGTTTGAGGTGCAGAATTTTGATGTTGAGGAGGTCTATCAGAATGCTAAGGCTAAGTTCGCCGAAGGTGATCGGTCGGTCTGGATTGACTTCTACTATCAAATGATGTATGGGAAGGGTTATGGGGGTAGCGAAAGCTTCCAAGAGATGAGTTGGAACGACAAGGTCGGCTTGAAAACAATGAGCGACAAGGAAATTGAGGATGGGCTCAGGAAGGCGGCTCAGCAGGCTGGTATGATCTAGGCAATCAGTTGAGAAATGAGTCAATAGAGATGTGATCGTATTGTGACAGTCTTCCTAATCGAACATGTATAGCCTCAATCCTAAACCCAGTCTGAAGATCCTTAACCCGTACGCCTCCAAACCAAACTAAGTGTAAGCAAGCACCTCAAAGCTTCGAACGACCCCTCCAGGCATGTCCCATCTCATCCTTGAAAGTAGCAAGCTCATTCCTCTTGCTGTCGCCACCATGGCTGACCTGAACAGGCTCATCAAACACCGTCTTACTCTTCTTCTCTTGCCTCTTGTCCGCATCAACGTACTCCCGCTCTCCCTCGCCAATGTACAACTGACGCGGGCGCCAGATCTTGACGCCGCCCTTTTGCAGCATTTGCTGCCTCCAGTGCGCCAGCCATCCAACGCAGCGGGGGACGGCAAACAGAACCGGGTAGAAGTCAAGCGGGAAACCCATGGCTTGGTAGATGAGGCCAGAGTAGAAGTCGACATTGGGGTACAGGTTACGCTTCTTCATGAACTCGCTCTCACGGGCATATTTTGCAAGCTCCAGCGCCGTGTCGAGGAGCTGGTTACGGCCTGTAACCGCAAAGACCTCCTCGGCCAGCTGCCGGATGGCAGTCGAACGGGGGTCGACGTTCTTGTAGACGCGGTGGCCGAAGCCGACGAGCACGCGCTCGCGCTTCTCGACCTTTTGCATGAAGGCGGGCACGTTCTCGGGGCTGCCGATCTCCATCAGCATGCGGATCGCGCTCTCGCTGGCACCGCCGTGGCTAGGGCCGTAGAGCGCGGCGCAGCCGGCGGAGACGACGCTGTACGGGTCGACGAGACTTGAGCCGACCTGCAGGACCGTGGCGGTGGAGCAGTTGACCTCGTGGTCGGCATGGATGATGAAGAGCGCGTCGAGGGCGCGCTCCAGAACGGGGTGAGGCTGGTACTCGTGCCCGCTCAGGTGGTCGAGCAGGTAGAGGAAGTTGCCGGTGTAGCTGAGTCCCTGGGCCGGGCGGTTGAAGGGTCTGCCCTGGCGCATGCGGTATGAGGCAGCAGCTACCGTGGGCGCCTTTCCGATGATGCGGAGGATCTGCTTGTCGAGCATCTTGAGGGCCTCGAGGTCGCCTGAAGCCGCGTTGGTGTACAGCTTCTGGCCCTGCAAACTCGGGTTCGACTCGGGAGCGAAGGCACCCATTGATGAGAAGGATGCTTGCAACATGGCCATGGGATGTGTGTCGTAGCGGAACGACTTGAACATGCCCTCGATATCGCTATGGATGTAGGTGTGGTGCATAATCTCATCTTGCCACTTGTTGTACTGTGACGTTGTCGGCAGCTCGCCGTAAATGAGAAGGAACGCTGACTCCAAGAAATGCGACTTGTTGACAAGCTGCTGGATGGGGTAGCCGCGGTACCGGAGGATGCCCTCCTGGCCGTTGATGTAGGTGATGTTGCTCTGGACCACGGCGGTGTTCATGTAGGCCGGGTCGTAGACTCGGAGACCCTGGTCGGTCTCATCCTCCGCGCGGTCCTCGCCGCGAGCGGCCTTGATCTTCTTGATATCCGTAGCCAACACGGAGTTCCTGGTAATGGGCAGCTCGTAAGACTTGCCAGTGCGGTTATCAACAATGGTCAGCGACTGTCGCGGCGCGCTGGTTGCGCCACGTGGCGCGTTCTTTGCAACGGTGACCATTTCCGATGGGGAGCTGGGGGTCGATTCTGAGAATTACTGGCTTCAAGAGATGAGATGACAGTGGAATTCGATCGCTTTCAATAGGATATTGCTTGAGCCCGGGCGGATGGATTTCAGATGCTACGGATAATGTTCCTTGTCCGGAGACCTTCTCCTGAGCAGGTGAAAGCTGCGCTAAGACCGTCGGTTGACGTCGGGAGATCGGCAACTGTGCCCGAGTGCCGAGGTTCAACTGCAACTCTCCACGAGTTCCACCAGATCCCCAGATTAGTGGCTGAATTTAGCTGCATTTGCACATGCCAGGGGTGTGGGATCATGGTCTAGGAAGAAGCTCCCATCCTGGTCCAGGAACCACCAGATGATCATGTTCTCCTCGTCGGACCAGCGGCAATTCTTGCGCGCACAATGAACTCGGCATCATCCTCGAGTAGATAGTCATTTTCTGGGCGGGGCTGAAGCCAATGGAGGATGTGACTCTCTCTCATGGCATTTGATCCCATTGCATGTGATCGGAAGCTGTAACCAAACCTTGCAGGGTGCTTCCATCGATGCACGGGTATCACTAGAGGCCATGCACTTTGAGTAAAGGTGACCGAAACAAGCAGTACCGTAAAAGCGTAGAGACTGAATTGAGAGAAATAGAAAGAGCAAATTCCTTGAGTTCGGGACAGTGTTTACTAGTAGCGGTTGTGTTCGTGATTTGTGAAGGAGCTGCCCATACTAGATCCGGTCTCAACTCGTGTCAATCCCTCAGAAACGTCTGCATTACAGGGACCTACTCTATCTTCCGCTCCATCATTTGGACAGTTATAAAAAGAGTTGATAGCACCTTTCTCAAGTTTTGAGACAGACTTTTTAATAGGTCTGAGTGTCATCGCGATATTCAGAGCGTGGGTACTAAGCTCAGTCTGATCTGGATAAGTACGCCAATGAGAAGCAACATACAAGCTTCAACTGGAGCGGGAAGGTGCAAGCCTACCAATTCATGACTACACAGTAACACAGATGACTGCTTCTTTCCATTCTTTCTTCTCTCAATTCGAGCTTTAGTGAGATTGCTTATGGTCCGTCGCATCTATGATCTCTACATCCATAGGGAATTTTAGCGATTGATATGAAAGTTAGGTGACAACGGTCTTTAGTGGGAGCTTAGTTGCGCATTAGAATTGAAGTTTCCGTGCTTGGAGTGATAACTCAAGACGACACTTCAATTAGAGAATTGAGCCTTTGAATACTTTTTAGAAGCTTGGCAATCCATCTCACTCAAAGGTTTCTCTTGTCATATCATGAAGATGTCGATGTGTGGATTTAGTGCCTTCAATAACCCTGATCCATGCAAAATACAGAACAGGACTCATGGTTCGAAAGAAGATGACCAGACTTTGATACCTATTGTAAATACAACGGCGACAGGCTTCCCCGCAAACCCGCACAGTGGGCTACCTTGCGGATTGCTAGGTACAATTTGGGGTAGAAGCAGGGTGAACGTTTAGGTTGAGTTTCCTCCGCACTTCTCTGCAGATCACCTCCGGATGTCTTTGTAGCGCACTGCAATTCACTACTGTTTAACATTCTTTTCGAATTCATCCTACCTAGAGATCTCGGGCTAATTCATCGCGTAACCAAGCACGCCGACGTCACTTACCAGAACCATGGGATTGAGGGGAAGAACATGCATCTAAGCACCCCGGTTGATCCGGATCGTCCTCCGTGTGGAGGAATCCAAGCTGGTAATTCTTCCGGGTAAATTGCTACAAGATGCCGCTTCTTGAACACTTGCTTGAAAGTCTCTTTGACCCCAGACTTGCACACATAATACTCTGGATCGGAGTGCGCAAGATGATTTTGACACTTCTGTGCACCACCTTACTGCCGGTGGTCGCGTTGGCAAGCATCGACCGGTATGTACATCTCTACTAAATGTCTGTTAGGCCACCGTTCAACTGACACATCTGACTAAGACAGCGTGTTGTGTCTCAATTCAATGTTGTCCGCACAAGCTTGATCGATAACAACACCACGCCATTGCAAGTTGGCAAAGGCAACTTCGCCTTCAATGTCGATAACACGGGCATGCAGGTGAGTATCAACTGCGAACATACAGTGTGTGTACCTCAAGGCATTCAAGCTGAAGTTGCAAACTCTGACAGACTTTCCTGCCCTTCAATACGCTTTCGAGCTGGGCCTGGCACAATGATTCGCTTCCAACCAATGGGTTTGTCATGCCGCGAGGATCTTGAATAGGATAAAATGCTGAGACTACACCCACAGCGAAAAGCTAAGCGACTACACCGGCGTCCCTATGCTGACCCATGGCCGAAACGTTTCCTACGACATCCCCGACTCCAAGCTCCCGCAAGTCTCGCAATGGCTCATCGGAAACCCTAATCGCATCAATTTGGGCCGAATCGGTCTGAAGTACAAGGGGGAGACGCTATCGGCAGCAGCCATTTCTGAACCAAGACAAGAGCTGGACCTCTGGAGCGGCATCATCACCTCGACTTTCAAAGTGGACAGTAAGGCTGTTGAGGTGGTCACACAGGGCGACTTCGCAACCGACGCCGTCACATTCCAGATTGAATCGGACCTCGTGTCCTCTGGCGATTTGACCATCGAGCTCGACTTCCCGTACCCGCCTATCCACACGACAAAGTACAAGTACGAAGTCTTTGCCGGCGTGTACGACTTCCCGTTGAACCACACGACTCGAATCGTCGATAGTTGTGGACGATCCGACCTGGCTCACATTTATCATGAGTTGCAGGAGACGAGCTACTTTGTCAATCTGCGCTGGCCTCATGAAGCGCCTCTTGACCTCTCGCGGGATGAACCAGAGGGCTCTGATGAGGTCAACGCTCATCGATACACGCTTTCCCCTGTTGGTGGTACTAACCAGACTGCAACTTCTTTGACATTTACTGCGGACTTTTCACCCCAGAAGCAGGATCCCAGGCCTCCGGCCGATGTCCAAGAGGAAAGCATTGCTGAATGGCACGACTACTGGAACGAGGGCGGCTTCGTCGACCTGACCTTATCATCGAACCCGAATGCTACAGAATTGCAGAGACGCATCATTCTATCACAATATCATGTCCGCGTTAATAGCGCAGCATCCGGTCAATCGCCTCAGGAGAGTGGACTGATGAACAATGGGTGGTACGGTATGTATATGCACTCATGTCCCATTCGAAGAGGATTTTGAAGCTGATTCAGGCAGGTAAATTCCACATGGAAATGGTCATTTGGCATAATGCCCACTGGGTTACATGGGGACGAAAGAAATATTTCGACAACATATTCCCGGAGATCTACGAGATTTTACTCCCATCTTCCCTCGCAAGAGCGAAATCACAAGGGTGGGAGGGGGCCAGGTAGGCTCGCTTCGATTTTAGAACTGGTAGACCTACGATCTGACTGTGTTTGTAGGTGGCCCAAAATGACGGAGCTAGAAACGGGTGTCAGTTCACCTGGTGGAATCAACGGCCTTTTACTATGGCAACAGGTACTGTCTCCGATTTCTTGACGCAGCGCAAATTCACACAGAAGAATCTTTGCTGACAAGATAGCCCCATCCCATGTACCTCGCAGAACTTGCGTATCAGTCTTCACCGACCGATGACACCCTCAAGCAATGGGATGCAGTCTTGACGGCGACTGCCGACTATATGGCATCGTACGCCTGGAAGAATGAAAGCTCGGGACATTATGACTTGGGTCCGCCGTGAGTCTGACTTTGACACAGACGGATGAAAAGAAGTATAGGCTGATCACGGAATTCTCCCAGCTCATACGGCGTCACTGAGAATACCCCACCTTCACAGACATTGAATCTAGCCTACGAGGTAAGCACAACCCAGCTCATTCACCAAAGCTCCTATCTCACATCGATACACCTAGATCGCATACTGGAGATACGGACTCGATCTCGCCCGCGATTGGAAGAAGAGACTAGGCCAGCCGGTCCCCGAAAAGTGGACAGAAGTGGCCGAGAACCTCGCCCCGCCACCACAAGTCGACGGCCTATACGCAGTATACGAAGGTTTGAATAGCACATGGTGGCAAGACCCCGCTCTCAACGGGGACCCGCGCAGTCTCATCATGATGCAGGGGATACTGCCAGACACCCCAGCCGTGGACCCCGACGTCGCACTCAAGACGGCGGACAAGGTGTGGGAGGTTTGGACGGATCAGAAGATCCGTGGCTGGGGACGGCCTGTGTTGGCTATCAACTCGGCGAGGATCGGGAACCCAGAAAGAGCTATTTACCACTTGACGGCGTATGATTACTGGAAGTTTGACGATGCTGGCTATGCTATCCGCGGTGGAGATGGTCAGTGAAACCCTCTTCGACGCCCGTATCGTTGCTCATAATTGACACAGGTGGCACGCCTCCCCCTTTCATGCCCGGAAACGCTGGGTTTCTATATGCAGGTAAGTCTTGATCCTGACATCTGCCTTGAGCAATTCTGTAAACTGACAATCATTAGTCGCATACATGGCCGCTGGCTGGCAAGGGTCAGATGGCGACGCACCTGGCTTCCCTGAAGGAGCCGGATGGGTTGTCAAGCAAGAGGGACTGCAAAAAGCACCCTAAGGAGGCTACGTAGTATCAGTGGCTTTGAATGATACATAAATTTCATTCCACTTTACCTCAGAGGGCGTTCACCAGATCTGTGCACGACTCAATAACATTGAATGTGGCCCGGTGACTTTGGTCAACGTATATACTGGATTCCGAGAATTTGCTCTACATAATCATCTACCACTCTCTGATCTCTCCACCAGGTCCAATGAATCCAGGGCTGACCCAAGCCTTCGCGTCCTTAGATAACTCACGAACTTGCGCCTCATCAATCTCAATGCCCAAGCCAGGCCCAGTAAGAAGATCAATATAGCCATCCGTAACCTTCCACACCTCCGGGTTATGAGTATAACTCGTCAGGTCCTGACCCGTGCTATTGTAATGAATCCCCAAACTCATCTCCTGAATCACAAAGTTCGGCGACGCAAAATCAACCTGCGCATTCGCAGCCAATGCAATCGGTCCCAGCGGACAATGCGGCGCCAGCGCAACATCATACGCCTCCGCCATCGCCGCGATCCTTCGCATCTCGGAAATTCCACCGACGTGAGAAATATCAGGCTGCAGTATGTCCACACACCCGGCCTCGAGGAACGGCTTCACGTCCCAGCGGCTGTGTAGACGCTCGCCGAGGGCAATCGGGATCGAGGTGAGGTGGCTGATCTCCTTGATGCCGCCCAGGTGCTCGGATAGCAGGGGTTCCTCGATGAAGAGCGGACGGTGCGGCTCTAGGGCCTTTGCGAGTTGCTTGGCCATGGGCTTGTGTACGCGGCCGTGGAAGTCGACGCCGGCGTCCATGCCGAGGGCTTTTACGGCCTTGACGCGTTCGACGGCTGCGTCGAGGGCGTCGGGGGAGTCGAGCCAGCCGAGGTCTTCTGTGCCGTTCATCTTGACGGCTTTGAATCCCTGTTCCTTGCGGGCTCGTCTGTTGTTAGTAGAAAATGGAATTAGCAAGGCTGCGTCTGAAGGGGTGGTCGGTGGCTTTGTTCACTTACGCCTGCTGTTCCACGTCGTTTGGTCGGTCACCACCAATCCATGCATAGACCTTGAGCTTGTCTCTGACCTTTCCTCCCAGAAGCTGCCAAATTGGCAGGCCCAGCTTTCTAGCTGTTGACTGTCAGTCACAGCATCGTAGGTAAGGCCGTATCAAGCCTGCTCACCCTTGAGATCCCACAAGGCAATGTCGATGCCTGCCAACGCGCTCATGAAGACTGGACCGCCACGGTAGAAGGTTGTCCGCCACGACATTTGCCAAATGTGCTCAATATCACTTCTTAGGATTAGCAATGTGAAATTCAATGGCTAGGTAAGTGAGCCGACATACTCAGCTTCCATGCCCGAGTACCTCTCAAACCAGGCGTCGAGACAGCCTTCCACGGCTTGAGTGTGGCCCTCGAGAGATGCTTCGCCCCAGCCGACGTTGCCCGCCTCATCGGTGATCTTCACGAATAACCACCTGGGTGGTACTCGGAAGTACTCCATCTTTGCGATTTTACCCATGGTGACTGGAGTCTTGCTGCCAATGACGTATGCGAACTTTCGTAAGGGTCTATGAGGAATCAAGGTTTGCGGGAAAAGGCAAGGTTGACAGCTTTGGTTGACTCTGATAGACGCTTCAACCAGCTTACTTGAGGCAATCGTGAGCTGATATTACCACCACAAAGCGGAGCTTGACGGAGTTGAATGACGGGAAAGTCGGCTTGAAGTCCGGAACCTCTCCGACCCGCCTCCTCAGCCGCCTCTCGTCTCCCGATCCGCCTCCGAATCGCATATCCCTCCCCCGTCGGAGAAGGGAACATGAGCATTACCCGGCTAGACGCAGTGGTGGAGAAGGGTGAGATGAGGTGTGCGGGGTTCGGTACACCACCACCCGAGTCTGTTGCCAGGGTATGGAGGGGTGGTGCGGGGTCTTCGGTGTAGGCTTTTCCGCTCGGTGAGGATATTCGGCGGGTGGCGGACGGAAAAGGTTCACCGAGGCGGTTCGCAAGTTATTGGTAGCTTGCGGAAACTCTGAAGATCTATCCCCGGCTCTATCAAATTGAGATTACAACGCTACGGATACTAGTTTATTCTCATGGGAAATTCACAACATCTATTATCTCGTGTCTATGCTTGGCCCGCTCTAATCTTCTTCTGCTGTGCCACCCAAGTTTCTACCGCCTTCTTCAGCGTCTCCGGGTCTGACTCGCCAAAGATGTCTTGACCGAGGCGGGCTGGAAAGTTGTAGCGGTGCTTCCTGTCCAAGGCGTTGATCTTCTCAAAAACGTCCTTGGGGAGCTCAAACACTAGTAAAAGTCAGTGTCTGTCAGATATCAAGTATAGATACCAGCTCCTATGATCACGTACCTTCAAAGTTTTTCTCGATTCTTGAGGGGGTAACGGACTTGGGCAACACCACGGTGCCTCTTTGGACAGACCAGCTGATAATGAGTTGCGCCGGCTCCTTATCGAGGGACTTGGCCAACTCGGCGATGGCGGGGTCGTCAACGGCACTGATGCGGATTAGTGCATGCACTTGAGACAATTTTCGGAAGAAACACGGGTATCTGCTGGGCACTCACCGAGGGAGGTTGTAAATGTTGTTAGCGAGGGGGCTATACGCCGTGACCACAATACCCTGCATTTCCAAATAGATTAGCGACCCTGGAAAGGGGATGCGACATCGGAGATTTTTCCCGCCTGGATCAATTGGACTCACCTTTTCTTTGGACCAGGCAAGGAGGTCGGGCTGCTGCAGGTACGGGTGCGCCTCAATTTGGTTCACCGCAGGCTTGATCTCGGCCTTGTCCCAAAGGTCCTCAATTTTCTCGCGGGTGAAGTTGGAAACGCCGATGGAACGGATCTTGCCCTTCTTGACGAGGGCCTCCATTGCCTTCCACGTCTCAATCACCGGGACGTCGATGACGTCGACGGCCTCAGTGACGGGATGCAGGGGGAACCGGGTGGCATCGTCCTTTTTGTTGAAGGATACGGGCCAGTGAATCTAATGCACGACATTCTTGCGTTAGGGGAGGCAGATCAAGAGGGGGGAACGGATGGGTGTAAGGCATGACAGAAAAGGTAAAAGATGCTTACCAGGTACAAGTCAACGTAGTCAGTCTGCAGGTCGCTGAGGGTAATGTCTAGTGCGGTCTCAACATCCTCTGCCTTGTGATGGGTGTTCCAAAGCTTGCTGGTGACCTGGGAGGGGAGAGACAAGGATCAGCCATCTGATACCCGATGCAGTAAGTAGAAGGATGATAAAACTCACAAAAATGTCTTTCCTTGGGACGCCAGAAGCCTTGAGACCTTCGCCGACTTCCTTCTCGTTGTCGTAGACGGCTGCCGCGTCAATGTGGCGGTACCCCGACTTGAGGGCATGTTCAACGGCGTTCTTGACCTCATTGGGCTTGGATTGCTACGGATTCACATGATTAATCAGATGGAATTTCAATATTAGCTGAACGGCTTCAAAATGCTCACCCAGGTGCCCAGGCCAACTGCTGGAATCTCGTGTCCCGAAAGAAGCTTGAAAGACTGAGCTAACGTCATTGTTGTAGAGCAAGTAAGTAACTGCGGTGATGCTTCCGTGATCGGATGTAATTGTACGGACGAAAGTCAGAAAAAGTGCAGTTATCCGCGTGTGTTATGTTGGTCTATCATATGTCACTCCCTTCACAAATAACAATTCCCCCAAGAGCTCTTATATCTCCATTTTGAGGCTGTCGTCACTCCCAATTCGCCTGCAAGATTTCCGCATCACATAATGAGGGGTGTCTAACACGGTCCGTTGTCACGGAATTGGCCTTATGTAAACCTCTTTTTCCGGCCTTTTCCTCCCGTCTTCTCTCCCCCCACTTAACTCTGCATGGCTCCCGCCAAGCAAGACGACGTCCGACGGCCGGGACCCGTTCGTAAGAAAACCCCTTGAGACTAAAGTTGCTAGAGACGGTCCAGACGGGATAGTGTCGGGATGTTCCCCGCTCGGTGGTCTTCTTTGGCGCAACTTGCCCCCACCCCCGCGTCATCACACCCCGAGAACGCCATCGAACAAGTCCCTCGCGGGATTGCCGAGGGGCACCGAGACCGGGTCTGACACGTTTTCCATCGTGAACGTAAATTCTAACGAGGGGTCAACAAAAACCTCACGACGGAAAGAAGAACATTGCAGCATCGTGATACCCGGAGTCGTCAACCTCGATTCCCAAAGTCTTTCCCAAGTGAAGCTCAGCCTCTCATAACTTGTTGCTGATTCATCCCTCTCTCCTTCTTACCCACAAACACACATTCACATCACAATGGCAGACGTTAGAGTACCACCCACGGGCGTCTTCGTCCCAGTTCCAACCTTCTTCCACTCCGCCTCTGATTCCGCAGGCGCCCTCCAGCCCAAGGTCGACATCGACACGCAAGTGAAGCACAGCGTCTACCTCGCAAAGAATGGCATCCGCGGCCTAGTCCTCCTCGGCTCGACCGGCGAGGCCATTCACCTGAACAAGGCCGAGCGTCACGATCTCGTCGCCGGCGTCAAGAAGGGCCTCGAGGAGGCCGGTTTCCCCGACTACCCTATCATGGCCGGCGTCTTGACCAACGGCATCGACGAGACTCTCGAGTGGCTCGACGACTACGCAAAGGCCGGCGCTCAATGGGGTTTGGTGCTTGTTCCCGGATACTTTGGTACCGCCGCGAACCAGGAGAACATCAAAGAGTGGTACACTGTCGTCGCTGACAAGAGCCCTCTGCCTATCCTTGTGTAAGTTTTGGATTGTCAATTGCGGTGTGCGCGCGCGAGATGATATCCGTGCTGATGCGGCCTAGATACAACTACCCTGGCGTCACAAACAACGTCCTCGTCGAGCCCGACACGTACAAGGACCTTGCCCAACACCCCAAGATCGTCGGTTGCAAGATGTAAGTTAATGCACAAAGATTTACTCCGCCTCTACCTCAGGAGCCCTTCTAACGCGATCCCGCAAATCCCCAGGTCCCATGGAAACGTCTCCCTCCACCTCCAAGTCTCCTCCGACCCGCGCATCGACCACTCAAAGTTCCGCGTCTACAGCGGCTTCGGCCAACAGCTCGCGCCCATCGTCCTCTTCGGCGCCGCGGGCGTCATCGACGGCCTCGCCGCCTTCTACCCCAAGACGGTCTCGCGCCTCTTCAGCCTGGCGGAGAAGCGCCCCGTCGACCAGGCCACCCTCGAGGAGGTGCAGCGCCTGCAGTACGCCGTCAGCCGCGCCGAGGACTTTATCGGCAAGACGGGCATCATTGGTATCCGCGAGGGTATCATCCGCAAGGCCGGCTTCGGCGCGCTCGAGGGCGGGCGGTTGCCGCTCAAGGGACGCTTGGATGAGGGTACTTTCAAGGCGTTGGATTCGCTCTTGTTTTCGGATATTCAAAAGATTGAGGACTCTTTGTGAGATACACTAGTGGTTTAGATGAGTTGGAGCTGGGAGCTTACGAATTGCATGATTGGCCATGATACCAAATATTGAGAGCTTGGCTTAGCCGTCAGGCACTATTTTGCTGCCACGGAAAAGCACACTGCTTGTTTCGCGTGCCCGTTTCTGTCTCATGGTAGCGTTACACCTAGTGGACCTTGATGCCGATGAACCCAGTGCAGTGGCCGGTCTATTCCCCATGATCCTCCTTTCTAACGCCGTCCCTCCACGTTTCCCCACGCCATCTCTGACGCCGTCTATCCGAGATGTGAGAAGTCTGGTACGAGTGGTTGTCTGCTTGCGGACTAGGCCTCTGTAGATGAGGTGTAGTCTGTTGGGAGAATGCGTCGACCTACCTACGCTTGTATATATGGAAATATGATGACCATCTTGAATTCTTAACTTGACGATGCCAACCTCCTACCCCAGCCCTTTGGTATCGATACTTTGACCGGTCTGCAATGTCTACCAACCTTTCTTCCGAACGTGCCGATATGCAGCCTTCCGGGCCTCAGACTATAGGGCACGGCATCGACGAGCTCAAGCCGAGTGCGTCCCAATTTGAGACCATGGAAGAAGGCGACCCTCATAAATTCAAGCTTCCCAAGACTGGTGGGGATGTTGCCTTGGCACTCTTCGATAATGTGGGCGATGTGCACGAATTCATCGATCCGGAGGAGGAGCGACGACTAGTCCGCAAGGTAGACTGGATGATTCTTCCATATATTTCAGTCTGCTACATCTTCTTCTACGTAAGTCAAAGTGCCTAGTCCCACTGCCAAGCACCGCCCCCAAAAGGCTTGTTTATGGTAACCAAGATCCATGTCTGACCTGGGCAGATTGACAAAACCACCCTCTCGTACGCTGCCATCTTTGGTATTCAGAGTGATCTCAACCTCAAGGGCACTGAGTATAGCTGGCTATCATCAATCTTTTACTTTGGGTTTCTGATCTGGGCTCTGCCTACAAACTTCATGCTGCAGAAGTTCCCTATTGCAAAGTATCTCGGCCTCAACATCTTCGCTTGGGGTACTTTTCTTGTGCTACAAGCTGCGGCACCCAACTTTGGAGCTTTAGCCGCACTTCGTGCCATCGGCGGAGCAGCAGAAGCGTGCGCTGACCCTGCCTTTATGATCATCACCAGATCTGCAGGCCCCAGCCTTTTGTCAATTTAGATTATCTTTTACGTCGAATGACGCTAACGGATCTCAGCATGTGGTACACCCGCCGAGAGCAACCCATCAAAATCGGGCTCTGGTACACCGCCAACGGCGTCGGCATCGCCCTTGGCGGCCTCCTAGGCTACGGCATCGGCAACATCAAAGGCGCGCTGGCGTCCTGGAAGTATGAGTTCATCATCGTCGGCACCCTGTGCTGCGCGTGGGGCATCGTCATTGCCGTGTTCCTGCCGGATAACCCCATCACGAGCAGCAAGCTTACAAACCGCGAGAAGAAGATCATCGTCGAGCGGTTACGCGAGAATCAGACTGGCGTGGAGAATAAAACGCTGAAGCTCTATCAGGTGCGCGAGGCGTTCACGGACTACAAGCTGTACTTTTTCTTCATGATTGCCTTGTTGCAGGCGATTGTGAATGGGGGGACGTCTAATTTTGGAACTCTGATTATCAAGGGCTTCAAGTTTTCGACGTGTAAGTCAAAACCTCCTCACCGCTCAGTTATGACGAACTTCTAACATGCCGTTGTCAAGTGATCACGGCGGTCCTTCAGATTCCATACGGAGCCATCATCTTCATCGCCATCCTAGCATGCGTCTTCATCAACGACAGGCTGCCGCCAAATAACCGCTGCTTCGTGCTGGTGCTCTTCTTATTACCCAACGTCGCTGGGGCGTTTGGTCTCCGCTTTGTCCCTGATGACCAGCAGGTCGGCAGGCTAATCTGCTACTACGTGAGTTCTCCCGCAAGTGAACCTCCCGACATGCACCATGCTAACAAGCCTCAACCAAAGTTAACCGGTTCTATCAACGCCTCATTCGTACTTCTCCTCTCACTCCAAACCGCCAACATTGCTGGACATACCAAAAAGGTGGTCACCTCCGCGTGCCTGTTTTTGGGATACTGCGTCGGCAACATCGCGGGTCCCTTCTTCTACAAGTCAAATCAGGCGCCCAAGTATGAGTTAGGTATTTGGAGTATGATTGTCGCTCACTTGCTTGAGGTTGTGGTTGTGATTACACTGCGGTTTCTGCTCAAGTGGGAAAATGATAGGCGGGACAGAATGCAGGGGGAAGTCGCTGAGGTTGATCTGGATGCGACGGCGTTTGGGGATTTGACGGATCGTGAGAACTTGAACTTTCGGTACATTTACTGATCAAGTGTCAGGTCTGCTGACTCAGAGACGTTCTGCCATAAGATTTGCGCTGCAAGTGTGCGGTCTGGGAGCAATTTAGATCACTGAAGCTGGGGTTCATGTTAGTCTCGAAATCGTAGCATTGCCACACTCTATGCCGTAATAATCACAGATATCGCAGTAGCCAAAGGTCCTCAAACGACGTAAAGTAAGTATCAGCGTCTCAAGCCATTCGCATGATAGCTTGCTCAACTCACTTGCAGCTAGAGTGAGATGCATCGCGTGCTGAAGAGTAATATCGTGGACTCACTAATAACGGATAATGATCCGCGCAAAGACGCGGTTTTAATTCGGACGTAGTGAACCGCTGCCGACGCCGGTGCATTTGGCGCCGACAGCTAAATGCTAAAGTCTGCACGGCTTCACCTTCACCACACCACACTCAATTCTCATTGCGCTCACCAAGACTCATCGCAGCATCAACTACAACGCCCTGGCATTCACACTGCATTCATCATGTCATCTTCTGCGACTCCCGCAAGACCACCGTTTTCATCTCTTCCCCTAGACCCTGCTGGGCCGCCTGGGAACGCATGGGGTCTGTACGGCAAAGATGACCGCTTAGGGGCGCTGAACCTTCTCACCCCCACAGTCGTGGCCGCTGCGGCAGCATCTGAGATTCGAACTGGCCAACGAGTATCACTGGATTGGTCATTGAATAATCCCTCTCAGCCAAGCTTCGATCGGGCGCCATTTGAGTCTAGGCTCGTCAACCGAGCTCATCCGAGTGGCGAGAAGAGGACCGTCAATGATGATATCTTGCACTTTAACACGCAATGTAGCAGCCAGTGGGACGGCTTCAGGCACTATGGTACTCAACTAAAGGCTACTAATAAGTGAGCCATATCACTAACTGTAATGACCTAAGGGTACCAGAAAGCCAAGCGATACTACAACAACACGACCCAAGATGACCTGGATAACCCAAAAAACATTGGCATAGACGGCAAGTTAACCTTCGAAACCGTGCGTTCATCCTTATTTGGTGACTGACTTATAGCGCAGCTTGGGTCGAAAAGGGCGGCATCGTCGGCCGCGGCGTCCTCCTCGACTACGCCAGCTTCTGCGCCCGCCACGCCCTGCCCCTCGATGCCTTCACCAGCAGCGACATCTCCCTCACCCACCTACAACAGATCGCCGCCGAGCAAAACATCACCTTCCGGCCGGGCGACATCCTCTTCATCCGGTCCGGGTTCACGGCAGGTTACAACGCCAAAGATGACGCCGCGCAAAAGGCCGTCGCGGCGCGCGCCAGCCCGGACTTTCTCGGTCTCGAGCCCACGAAAGACGTGCTCCGCTGGATATGGGAGACGGGATTCGCGGCCGTGGCGGGCGACGCGCCGAGTTTCGAGAGGGCGCCCATCGCGGGCTCGCATACGGCTGTCGGCGGCGTGTGGAAGGGCGAGGCGTGGGAGGAGGAGATGCAGGGCGGTGGTTTGTTGCATCAATGGCTGCTGGGAGGTTGGGGATTGCCCATTGGCGAGATGTTTGATCTCGAGGCTCTCAGTTCGACGTGCCAGGAGCTGGGAAGATGGACATTTTTCGTGAGCAGCGTGCCGCTCAAGGTAAGTCTTGAATATTGATTCTCGCCCGATTCATTCTTCTCCATTACTCATGTTGGAGGGTATGTTCGCCTTGAAAAAAGCGTACTGATGATTTGTTTCCACGTTGTAGGTTCCGGGCGGTGTTGCCAGCCCTCCCAACGCCGTTGCCATATTCTGATCCCAGAGTCACATAGTCTTGGGATGGTCATGCTACTTAGAGTTTTGGCCACGTTTTGTGAGAATAATAAAGTTGCTTTGGTGTTCTAGTCTTCTTCACCTCGGTGTATCTTAGTGTTCGGGAGGGTAATCAATGTGTCAATGTTCCATTTCTGGCCATCCCCGGTGACGGGATGTTGCTGGTTCGCTTGGCTTTGCTCGGACTTTGCGGCTGGTTGGCGCGTTTGCAGATCCCTGACATTTTCAAAATTAATGGTCTGTCGTCTCTGGAACATAATTCTTCGTCTCTCTGAATTTCGAAAGCTTGGCGAGTTGTCAGCACATCATCGCTTAGAGAGTCCTCTAATTCGAATTGGTCACTCGTCATCTCGTGTTACTCTCATCCAGTCTCAAGAGTCAAGACTCCCTAGCTCTGCTAGCATATGCCATGTAAGTTGGGAGCCCCAACGACCACCGCCCCAACCATTCAACTCTGTATGCCAGTCCACATGATTCGACTCGGGTGTACCAGGGGAGCCTCCCCCGCAAGGAACCATCCATCACCCACAACGATCTTAGTCCAGACCGGACCAGCAAAGCGAGATCAGGCCTAGGGGGCCACAAAGGAATTAGGAGGCAGACTAGGAAGACGGGGACCGGCCGGGTACCCCGCATTGTCTTCCCCATTCCCAAAAGGATTAAGAATGAGGTGACATTTCCGTCTTTCCACGTCCGCCGCCTGTGGTCCCCCTCTCTTCCCCCTTCCCTTCCCACTCACTCGACCATGTTTCCGTGTGTCCAGCTCCAGCAGCAGGATCAGGGGAGTCTGCCGCCAAATTGCTGCCGCACTACGGAGTAAGCCTCCCTCTCAGGGACACGGCAAATGGACCTGGACACCGACCAAGGCGACTCCGGTGTCGGCATCGGCACCGGTAGCAACGGCAACGGCAATGCCATGGTGAATGGAATCCACCACCCCGGTGTTCGCCGCCATTCCCAATCACACCATAATGGGAGAGGAGGAGGAAGTCTTGGTAATCATAGTCACGGCAATGGAAGCAAGCACGGCAACGGCAATGGAAACGCATCGTCGAGCGGCAATGGAACCGGGAACGGCCGCCACGGCAGCACCAGCAGCAGCAGCATTCATGTTCACAATGAGAACAGCAACGGCAACGGCAATGGAAATCACAACCAGCAGCTGGCATCTCCGCCGCTCACACATCCGTCGAATCCGACCCCTCTGACGGAGAGCGGAAGACGTCGTCGGCACCGCGACAAGGAGCGCGTCCGCGTCACCCGCGCCTGCGACAGGTGCAAGAAGCGCAAGATCCGCTGCACAGGCATCCAGCCCTGCGAGTTGTGCATCCGCACCGAGTCCCACTGCACCTACAACGCGTCTTATGCACGGGGTCGTCAGCCGCCCGTGGCTACTCGGGAGGATGTCGCCCGAATGGACCTCGATGGCCTCGATGTCTCCGTGTCGGACCATCCCAACGCTGCTGCTGCCGCTGTTGCTGGTGAAGATGCGTTGATGGGCTCCTCCATCGTCGTAGACGTCTCTGACCCCGGTGATACTGATCATCAAGACGAGACCATCATGAACGGCACGAGTCTGGCCGTTGTTGGCAGCGTCGGTCCCGGAACCGCTGAGCCTCCCTCTCGGGCCTCTCCTGAACCTACTCAGACGGATCTCCAAGGTCACTATGTCGGTCCCTCGTCTGGTGTCTCTTTCCTGTTGAGAGTCCAGAAACGACTTCACCAAGCCGTCTCATTCTCACAAGCCTCCTCCATCTTCACCTTTGGCGATGCACCGCTCCCAGACTTTGACCCCAGCGGCGCCTTCTGCGTCCTGCTGTCCAAGGAAGAGGCCACGACCCTCTTGAAGAGATACTTTGAGTTCGCTGTACCAACTCACCGCTTCTTGCACCGCCCCACGGTAGAAGGCTGGCTGGAGGAGTTCTACGATACCATGGGTGCCATGAAGAGCCAGGAGGACGCACCGGCCCGGAGAGCCCTGCTATTTATGGTGTTTGCTCAGGCGCAGGAGTACATGGGCACCACACACTCGCGTGAGAACGCAGACGCAAGGTAAGTTTTAGAAACTTCGCGGAGGATACATCTTCCGTACCATGTTATTTTACACCTTCATTCTCGCATGCCAATATTCGTCTCCGCAAGAACTAACACATGAGGACCAGCGCTCGATACTTCTTGGCTGCAGATCATCAGCTCTCCAAAGAGAGAGGCGCCGTCCGCCTGACCAGTGTCCAGGCCCGGCTATGCCAGTGCTTCTGGCTGCTGTCACAATCTCGCATTAACCACTGCTGGAGCTTGTTCGGCACCGCAGGACACCTTGCTCTCGCCATTGGTCTGAACCGCAACAGGCATGCGGACCCGGCAGGGGGTTACAACTATATTGAGCTCGAGTGTCGCCGTCGCACATTCTGGTGCGCTTACAGCCTCGACAACTATCTCAGCGCTGCACTTGGTCGTCCACGAACGTTCCATGATGAGGACATTGATCAGGAACTCCCGTCGTGTTCAGAAGACGCGGATCTCCATGCAGATCACATCACACCCCGTATGGGACGTGGCCAGTCTCTCATGCTGGCTCCGGTTGCTCATGTCAAGTAAGTTATACCTCTCATTCCCTCTCTCGTGCATAGTACTGACTTCAGTCCAGGCTCTCACGGATAGTGAGCATGATCTTGCGTGACCTCTACTCTATAAGACCGTCGTCGTTCTCAAATAGATGTGCTCTGGCGGCGAAATACTCTCAAAATCTGAAGCACTGGAGGGCCGAAATGTCGCAGTTCTTGGATGATGGCGTCAACACGGCATTACTCATTCCCATCTTCCAGCGGCAACGCAACGTGTTAAACCTGGCGTACTGGCATGCTATGATCCTCACACATAGGCCCTTTTTGCTGAGTAACTTTGCCCGGCTACAGCGAAACGGTAAAGCCCGTCGGAAGAGTGTGCCACACAAGGACCAGACGGAAGAAAGCGTCAACGCCTGTCTCGACGCTGCGATGCACGTTGTCGACACAGTCAACGATCTTATACAGGCAGGGCAGCTATTCCGTGCTTTCTGGGTAAGGCCTGATCAACAGTCTTCATCGAAACCCCCCTGCTAACTCCAAGCCACTTGCAGTTCACTTCCTACTTTGCCTTCTCAGCCGTCGTTGTTCTCTATGTATATACCATCCAGCAACGGACAGCCCCGACAGAGGCATGGCAGGCCTACTTCAACGCGGC